ATTCTCTTCATAGCATTTCACAACAATTACATATAATCATCTTTGTTATGCATTGTGCATTGTTAGAGGTGATAACTTTCAAATCCGAAGATTGGGTTATCCGGTTCGGGTTTAGAAATCGACAGGCTTTTCTTGAATAAAACCTTTGGGGTTTTGCCCTCCAAGATTCTCAAATTTTATGGGTTTTTGCATGATTCGTCTCATCACATATTCAGCCGAGTGAAGGTAATCGAGGAGCTGGAGGTTCCGTCGATTTAGTAACGGTAAACAGAGGATTATGAGTGGGAGTGTCGGGTTCGACACGCGGGTGATTGAACTCAGCCGGGCTAGATTTTGAAGGTCAAAGGTTGTTCAAAGATAGTGTCGCAATCGGAGGTTTATTCACGGCTGTCAAAGTACTTGATTCAACTTGAATCAAGGGGAAAGAAGAAATAGGATCTACAACAACAATAGTGTTTGTTTGTTTGATAGTTATTCGCTTCTTGTATAAAATTTCAACAATAGGTTATATCTATCTATTAACAGGTCTCAATTCTATTATTAGAATTGAGGGAAGACGTACCCCGAGCGAGGACGACGGGGGAACTGCCTCAATAAATCGTTGTGTCTTTTGCTTTATGTTTATATTGCATAATATTTGTGTTTTTAGTGCAAACGATTATATCAATCTAGGTCTAGTTTGAGTTGTGATAAACTAAATTTGAACCTAGTACAATCGTTGATTGTAAGAGGGAACTTGAGCACCTAGCTCTCAAAACAGAACTCATTTGTAGTGCTCTGCACTTCAAGTGTTTGATAAATTGTCTGAACTAAAAACCTTGTGTGTTGTCTTTACATATTGTTAATATTTTAAAGGCATTGGGAATTGTCACACCGTATAGTGAGCTGAATCAAATTGATAGTGTGATTAACACAGTGATTCTCATATCTCGTTATCGGATTCCATAGGCTTAATGCATATCTGGTTTTCTAGTAACTGTTCGTTTTAGACGTGTATAGTTCCTCCGCCGCTTCTGCAATTAAACCAATTTTATTGGTAGCGCCGACTCTTTTAAGCAAGCGATCTATTCAACCCCCCTTTTAGATTTGCGTCGTGTCTAACAATGATAACGAAAATGACAAATACAAAGTGAAGAATAGATTCTGAAGAGACAAACTAGGATGAACGATGGTGTTTTGGTTGAAATCGTGTATTATTTTACAGTATTGTACGTTAGGGTTTAGGGTTGAAATCGGGTATTGTTTCGTCTAGTTTCTATTTTCAATGGAAAAAAGGACACAAAAGAGACAAGCTAACTAGGAGTGTATAATATTATAAAGCTACCACCACGGCCAATACCAGCAACTACTATGCTATATTACTTTTGTAGTGAAATTTCATAAAGAAGCGCCAAAGTTTAGTTTACAATTAAAATTTTTAAATAAAAAAACAAAATATATCACAACGGTGGAACTCGGGAACCATAGTCATAACCCTTTAAGATTTTTATTTAAAAATAAATTTAAAAAAAAGGCGCGCCTTAACATTAAAGGAATAATATATATGAGGGCGTTGAGGTTCGAACCCATGAAAGCTTGATGATATCACCACGGTTGGCTCCTCAAATGTTATTATATACAAATAAGTTTTAATCAAACAATAATAATATGATAACACCTTAGTTTAGAAGTTTCACCACGATGTAGGGAAGAACCATGGTGAACATGGCGTTGTTGTTTACGCTTTTTATAGTAGTGAGGTTGACACATTATTTAGGTCAACACATGCATCAAAAATCTTGAATTTTTTTATTATTTTCCAAACTTATTGCATTCCTTTTTTGCTTCTAACTTTCACAAACACACACACACACACACTTCATACCTGTATCATTTCTTTTTCAATGATTTGGAAAAAAAATCATAAACAAAACCTACAACATACTAAGAGTCTTCTTCATCTTCCACATTGGTTTTATGCATACACACAAACAAAGTACACATAATCATTCATTGTTTGGGTGCCATCTAGAATCACGTTAATAACGTCCAATTTAGTTTGGAGTATTGTAAATTGGGTTGAGATCTTAGGGGGTTTTAAATAAGAAAATCAAGGTGGGATTTTCCTTCAAGATCAAAGTGGGGATTTGAAGGTTTTGGACAAGATTACTCAAGTTGGATTAGATCGAGTGAAGACTTTGAAGGGTTGCGGTTCTTACAAAGGAGTAGCGTGAGATGGTGGATCGTCTTGGTAAATCTTGGGTTACAATAGTTTGTAACTTAGATTCAATAGAGTGAAGGCTTTGAATAGTTGCGGTTCTTGCAAAAGAGTAGTGTGAGACGATGGATCATATTAGTACAGTTGGATGACAATAATTCACAATTTGGATTTGATCAAGTGAAAGCTTTGAAGAACAGAATGTTCTTGCAAAGGAGTAGCGTGAGACGATGAATTAAATCTGCATTGTTGGGTTACTTGATCAAGTTTGATCAAGGGAAGATAAGGTGTCAGAATCAATATCAAACTTAGGGTTGTAGAGTTAGGTTGCTACATTTCTATTATATATGCATTTTCTAAAGTAAGATTAATTTCATTATCTCAATTCGAATTTAAATTGATGGCAAGCGTACACATAGTGAGGCCGATTGGGGAAATGCCTAAACAAATCATTGTGTACTTTCTCTCCCTCTATCTCTTTTACATTTCATTTGCAAATTGTTGAGTTCATCATTTGTATGATTAATATGTTTGCTTAATTCTTTTAAAAACTTTTTGTTGAGTTAATCATAATCCTTTAGATTGTGGTTAGATTTTAAGATCAACAAAACTATATAAATTTTCAAATAAAATCGATTGCACACATGGTGTTCGATAGTTTGTCTCAATAGTATTTTTGTTTGATTTATCATTGGAAATAATCTCTACTTTTAGCATAGCATTCAATTGGTTGTGGTTAATTGATTGGTGATCTAATTTGTGTTTATTATCAATGATTAGTTTGCATATATGCACATATCCGAACTTTTCGCTAGCGGTTTGGTTTAGACGAATTGATCGAAGTCACTTCCTCTAGCTATGCTTTTTGAAAAAAGTATTTATAAAGAAAAATTTTATCGGGGATCTATTCACCCCCTCTAGATAAGCCTCCTTCGTCTAACATTGTGCACCGTCCTACCTCAAAATCCAAATGTCTGTATCATGTGTATTAGATGACTTTCAAAATCAAGTCATTTTATTCAAGTTTACTTGAAACCAGAATGTCCTATATCACTTACATCACCGGAGTGGATGGCTCATTCAAACACAAAAGCCGAGACTTGGCCAAATCATTTTATGAAAAGGATGCAAGAATTCAAGAAAATTGAACAACATTGAAAAAGTATCAAATGTACAAAACTCCAAGAGGGTACCACTAATAGATTTATCCAACGACAAATGTTTCGATTCTTTTTAATTTCTCGTTTATTCGAACAAATAATGTATGTAATTGTATCTCAATATAAATGAAGTATAATATATTCAACATTTGTTCATATTGTGTCCTTAATGCATTTTTTTTCTTCGCCATATCAAAATTTGTGCTTTTGTAAGAAAAAGTTATGTTTTAAAGATTATGTTCTGAAACTAGTTTAGGAAACGTCCGGAGATACATCTCCGGAACAAGATAATATGGCGTGGTTTCAGAGATGCATCTCCCGAAATCAATATGTCAGTTAATAAGTGGTCCAAATTGATCTATGACTTCTATAAATTTATGTGCTTTTATGTTATATTTCACACAAACTGAAAAGGTCTCAAATGTCACAAATAAAACATCTATTGGTATGTTGCAAAATGCCTCCTTCTCCAACTCTACACTTGGCGTGAACGTTTAAATTCACCGATTTCACCTCCCTCGAAGATATCAAGGACGAAATCTACCATCTCTTACCTTACGAAAACAATCGAAAGATTTTGAAGTTTGAGTACTGTTCACCGTCGATTGACGACAGAGAGAAGATTGAGTTCAGCTAAATTTGAGCTCAAGACGCAAGCAAATGTAAGGGCTATGTGGAATATCGCTCGAGTTGGAAGTGACGGTTTCAAGAATCGATCAAAGATATCGCAAAGATGTTGAAACGTCCGCCTCGATATTGAAGTGTAATGTTATATTTTATATTAAAATCATCTATGTAATACTTATTTTATATTATGAATGTTAATTTCATTTTGAAAAATTACTTTGTCTTGATTTTGTTACTGGTCTGTGTCTCCGAAAATGTAACTACAAAAATATTATGAAGATGCTCTCCGAAATAAAGTAAAAAAAAAAAACGTCACTAAAAAATAACCTTAATTGAATGTGTGTTGAGATGCGTTAGAAGATACATTCTCAAAAAAACAAAAAAAAAACATTTGTAAAAATTGACATAGTATGGTAAAAACATAGGATACTATAAAAAATTCTCTAACAAAAAAAAGTTGCCAGTACAAAAAGCCACCCAATCCACTCAGTCCATAAAATCCCAAAAGTTTATCTCTCTCTCATTTGTTATGTTTTTAGAAGTTTTGCACTTAGTTAGAGATGTAAACTAACTTGTCTCAGTTAGGAAATGAATACTAGATAGAATAATCTACTAATTAAATTCTACTTGTAAAACAATTAGTACGTGAAGTATTAATCAATGAAAATGTCTAGAGCACAGTCAATTCAATGAATCAAACATCAACCAACAAAAAAATTGTGTCGAGAAGATAGAAAGTATGTTTCTATAATTATTCATCGACACAAATGAATCACATAGATGTCATTTATCTTGCTTACTGTTATGGCCTTAACTTAAGGGCACATAAAACTATTAACAAGAAATTTTGGGCTATCACTGATCTAAAGATTTTACAACAGCAAAAGATTTTTACACTTATCTGATGCATGACATTGTATGAAAAACTTACAACAAAACCATTACTTCCCCTGCATGCGAAAACGCAGCATTCGAATAAACATACCAAAATCATGCTGCATTTTCTACTTGCCATTTCAGGATTGTTCAATATTCAATAGAATGAAGAGACAAATTACAAGAAGATATATAGAAATTGAAGAATATCTTCCTTTCTGTTGGGAGGATGAAGTTGACGACATCGCTCTTGCATTACCTCCCGATGTTTTATTATTTCTGCAAAAACACAGGAAGAAAAACCAAAATGTCATAATTGGTTTTAATAACAACAAGTACTACTCTCTCTGTCATATTTACGAGAGAAAGTTTACTTTTTATATTCATTGAATAATCAACCTATCTGGTTTATTATATTAATCAGATACATTAATCATTCAATGAACCTAAAAAATAAACTTTCTCTTGTAAATGACCAGAGGTACTAGTTATGAGTATACATGAAGTTCATCCAAATAAATAGTTTTATATTGAACTTACCCATCTCTCATGTAGATGCAGTTATCATAACCTGCGATGCGAAAAAAATAGTCTTTCAGTGACACGAACCGATATTATTTTACTTTATTCTGAGCAAAAAAAAACAGCATGTAAACAAAGAGAACATAAAAGCAAAGGAACATACTTGGATCCTTGTCAACTTTTACACCTGTACCACCGAAACTACAAGCAACATCAGAGGCCCCATTTTGCTGGTAATAGCTATTAAAAACAAAAGATGCATGTGAGACTAGATTATCCGGCTCAAAACAAGGCTGGCTAGGCTGGACAGCAGTACAGTCCACATCGCCAGGACCGCATGCCCAATCCAAAGCATTCTGCAAATCAATCTCGGAGGCTTTGCTTGAAGCAATGCACCATGATGTTCGATTTGACCGGGTTACATTTGCAGCTGTTGTCATATCAATCGCACCTCGTCCGGTGAAATCTAGATTATACACACTTGTCTGATCCGGATAAAACAATCCCCAATTCCTCTCCGATTCCAAACCGGGCTTCCTGTTTTCGTTAAACAACGAGAAAATATAAATATCTAGCTCCTTCCCAGGCTTCGCTGGAGTACCGGTGTTATTGATGACATGTCGTATGAGATTAGTGTTATATGTTTGTGCATTATCAGGAGTTGCGGCCTTCTCCTTAGGTGAACCTTTTGAAGGCCAGCCTGTTTCAGTGACCATGACATTAATCGTTCGGAAATTTAGGGCCATGAGAGCGTAGTAAATAGCATCAATCTGTGCGTCAAACATGTTTGTGTAAAGCAAACCGGTGTTTGGATCAATAACTTCAGAGGATGCCTGAAAAAGAGCATAGTCTAAAGACACTTTATTCGGGGAGTCACGGTAAGCATAATACGGATATATATCAATCATAAAAGGCGATTGATTTTCCGCAAGAAATTCTAGCATCGGCTTCAGGAAATGAGCATGGCTACTATTGAAAGCCCCGGCTGAAGGCGGGAACGATCGCGACAGAACACCAAGAGAATGAGTACTAGAAACTTTTATCTTTTTGTGCAGCCCAAGTTTCTTGAGTGCTGTAAGTACATTGTTCATCGCAGGTACTACCAATGAAGAGGTATTATAGCTACTTTCTGTGATTTCAGCACCAACAGTTATGTATGTGATTTTCGTGGCCGGATAATAAGGAAGGACGCTGTTTTTCAACCAAGCGTCGGCGTTAGATTGAAATTGGGAGAACGAGAGCAAATCTGAATTTGGAACACCAATCATAAGTTCGACTCCAGTGTTGGCAAAGGCCCTTAGGACCTGTATATTAGAATCATAAATCCGAACATATTTTATTTTATGAAGCTGAACTAACTGTGCCACCTTGTCGGGTGTAGGGAGGTCATCGGCACTTCGTCCATAACAGATCCCAATGAAACTCCCAGAACAACAATCTGACAAATAGTTTCAACAGAGTTAATAAAATTTAAGAGTTACACAGGCAACTAATTCTACTAGCTGTAGCTATATGATATCAGCATGTCAAAACAATCAATCATTAAAGAAAATTCCTAGAATTACCTAACTCATTCTTACAAAACCGGTTTATAAGGTAAGAGATACGATATCTTCCAAATACACCCCCTTCATGCCCAACACTCTGTTAGGCTTGGTGTGTGGATATAAACGGTAGACAACCATGGTTTGATCAATAGGCTCTGAAACCATCTTAGAATATGAGAATTGAGCCTAACTCATTCCTACAAAACCAATTTGCAAGGTGAGGGTTGCCCAAGTTTATAAACACTCCACCCCTTCAAACCCAACACAATGTAGGCATCAGAGACTGCAACGAAGACAAGTCAAATGCCGCAATTTGACAACGACTGACGGACCGCAATGAAAACGGAATGTCCAACACACCCTCCTCATGCTCACGTCTCAATGAGACTAGACTCGAGCGTGGACAATACATAAAGCCCAACAACAGATCTAGGATAAACTCTGCTACCATCTTAGAATTTACAAATTCTATAAAAATCAATCCATATAATAACACTAATCAAACCATAAAGCAGCAAGTAATCTTTATATATAAGCTGCTTAGCAAAATTGAACCAGAATTCCACTCTAATTGAAAGCATCTATCTAATTCATCCTCAAAATTTCACCTCAAATACATTGTTTTACAAACTTCTTCCAACAACCAAGCACATGCATAAGCATAAAATTAGTTAGATTTGATTATTGAATAAACCATTTTGAATTTCAAGCAACCAAAAATGGAATATCTAGAGAACTGAAGTTCATTAAATTACTTAATTTTATTTATAAAATAAAAATAAAAAAGAGAAGCACCGACATTCTCTCAAACAATTGAGATAAATGGGTCCCAAATCCCAATAAATAACAATTGAATGAAAGAGTAAGATTAATCACAAACCTAGAAGAAGGAGGAAGAATGATGCTGCAAAGATGAACCTAGTAGCCATTGATGTGATGTGTTGTGTTGAGTTCTCAACTGTATTATATATTGGAAGAAAGAATGAAGAGAAAGTGAAGACGAAGTTGAAGAGTACTAAATTACAAGTTGTTTGTTAATGTTGTTGTTATTGTTCACAAGTGTGCAAAGGTTTTACCTAATGTTTTAATAAAGTTCAGAAAGAGAGTAACGGCTCTTGTCTCTTTTCACTGGTTTTTCTCTCTCTTCGGATTGGAGCATTAGAGTGGCAAACACAGATTTTGTTTTTGTCCGGTTAAGGAAGTGTGTTAGTTAACTCACACACACAAGTCACACAGAAAGATGCTGCTTTTATCTTAAGTTTAATCATAAGATTTGCTTTTTACTAGGTTCTTTTTCTCCTTCTTTTAAAATTGTTTTCATTTTGTTTATTGTTAAAAGTTTATTCCATTAGCAATTGTTAATTAGTTTAAGGGTGATTGATATTGGACTTAATAGAAAAGAACACTGATTCTATCACCACAGCTGTGATTTCCGGGTTGGAATCCGTTAATTCTAAAACTGTTTTTTTGTAATATCATGTGTTTCCTTAAATGTTCAAATTCAATAAGTTAAAATCAGTTGAGTTCTTATATTCTCTGAAAGTTATCAGTTGAGATAAATAGAATAACTAGTAAACTGAGATTGACTTAATTAATATTATTTGGAACTGACTTTTTATTAACTGGGACACTTTGATAACACTAATAATGAGTTAAATATTCTAGTAGAGTAATTATTTAAGTGTAATATCACTTAAGATATTTTCTACTACTCCTCTTCAATTCTATCCACACAATTTTTCTTTTTGATTTGTGACCACATGTTTTTATCCCACACTCCTACCCACCATATACCACTTCACTTTTCTATGTGTCAGTAGAAACCTTGAGCAGAGAAATAGAAAGGAGGCCTAAAGTGAAAGAAGGAAAAAACAAGCTCGTGGAAAGAAGAAGAAGGACTTGGAGGAACAAGAAGTTTGGAATCCATCATCATCATTTCATCTCATCATCTTTCATCAATCTCTTCGATTCTTTTCAAGGTGGTTTATAGATAGAAACTTGCGATAATTTGAAGTTAGGGTTTGCTAGATTCATAGAATGGTTAAGAAGAATCATGATAACTTGAGATGTGTTTCATATAGCCATGAGTTCACTATGAATAATACTTTGATTATATTCTCCATGATTGATATGTTCCATATGTGTGAATGTTGTTGTTGTTTTGATTATGAGAATCATGAACTTGGTGAAACAAGAATATATATGTTATATGGTGTTTATTAATGTGTGTTACGGATCATGTTATTGGATTGGTTTGATAGGAATGAAACAACATTTATGCAAGTTGGAAAAGAAGAGTTTCAGAGAGATATTATTGAGAAATAACATGGATCAATCGATTGGTCATGGGCTTCTCTCCAGGCCAATCGGTTGGATGGACACACTGACTTGAGAAAGTTGAAAATCTTCAGAAACCAATCGATTGGCATTTGACAACAATTGATTGTTTTGTGATTCTGTTTGTGAAAAAATCAAAGTCTTTAAAAGCCAATCAATTGTCTCTTTTGCTTTTCTTTGAAAATGACTTTGAAAACTCAACCAATCGATTAGGCTTCCCTCACCAATCTATTAGCTCACACTTTTTACCTCTTGTCTTGTTTTCTTGACTTTCCTAAATGCATTGTGTCAACTACTAATCACTTGTTATGCTATATATGCATTGAATCAATGACAATTGTGAGAAATGTTTGATGAACTAAGTGAGTTAATCTAGTGATCTATTTAGATTAAGAAGTTGGACATATAACTTAAATAACATTATAAGGCGGCGTTTATTCAATATAATACCTAGGTGTGTGTCATGAATGAATGCTCACTATAGTTAAGAATGATATGCTTTGTATGGAATATGTGTTGTTATTGTGTGATGAAGGTGAACGTGATTGCCTTGTGATTGTACAATACAATCACGTTATGTTTCTATCTAGTCATATAGTCAGAAACAACCCCTTGATTGTGTCATCCCAAGTTGTGATGCTTTTATAGAGTAAGAATTGTGATGTGGGCACCCATACTTGAATGACTTGGGTTGAATCCCAGAGGCAGTGGATCCCAAAGTGGGATGAGTCCCATACAGGTAAAAGGCTTGAAATGGGTTTGAAGTCCCATAGGAAGCAGTGATTCTTGAATTGGATATTATCACTTGGAATCTGAAGTACATGTGTATGTCAAAGTATGAGATAAGGATCTGTGGCTCGTGTCGATAACCCTAGAGTAGAGCTTACCGAGGAAAGATGTTAGAACAAGATTTGGTTTTTCATCTGGCCTTTAGATTTGATGATAACAATACATTTCTTTTTAGAGAACAGTTGTGTGTCTAGTCTGTGGCTTTTGCTTAACAGGTTTTGACTCTGAAGCTTTGACGTGTGGCGTCATCAGACTCTAGAATCAAGACACTTTGACTCTGATGAGATATAAGTGTTTTACAAGATGATGTCAAGTTCTAGAAATCTCTTAGAGAACGGTTCTGAAGAACGTTTGTGCTAAAGCTTCTAACTATGACTCTAATGGAAGAGCCTCTGAAGGATGTCTACCTTCAAGATTTTGCACTCAAGTTTCGAAGATTCTGAAGAACAATATCTGAAGACTCTGAAGACCAGGTTCTGAGGAACTGTGTCAAGTCTCTAAAGACTAAGGTTCTAAAGATTCTCTTAACCTGTCTCTTGATTCTTATAAACATGCTTCAACATTAATTTATCAGAAGCCTCTAAAGTTTAGAAGAGAAATTTAAAGGTTTTGCGTTAGGAAAATCGTACATAGTACAAGATCATATGTCTCTCCACTACCTTAATTTTGTGGGTGAAGGACAATATTATTGCATCATTTGCCTCCCATTTACAAACCATTATGAAAGAGACAACCACAAAGTACTATTCAAATTCTACCCTCTAACGGATCTTTTATTTGCCTATATAAAGAGGACTTTGACGATTGGAAGACACTGCTAGTTTCTATTACATTGATCACACTATTGAACATGCACACTTTGCTAAAATAAATATTATATTTTTGTATATTCTTTGTAAACACACAAAGAGTTTTTACTCGTTATCTGTGTGAGATTTTCATTGTATTAAATTGTGTTAATCTACTTTCTTAGAAGCACTCTTTGTAAACACAACTTGTAAATCTCAATCTTGTTTGAGTGTTTTCTTTGAGTGACTAGGGTTTAGTCATATATACTCGAAAATAAAAAGATGGTTAGTCTTTGTGGTGTATGTAATCATTTTCGATTATAGTGGATTAAGTACTTACTGAGAAGGAAAAATCACCTTGGTAGGGTTGACTGGAGGTAGCTTCGTTAACAGCAAACCAATATAAAAATAACTTTTTATTTTTGTTGTTCATTTTATTACTTGTTGAGTAGGTTTTGAAAAAACTTTGGTTTTTAGAAACCCAATTCACCCCTCCCCCCCCCCCCCCCCCCCCCCCTCTTTCTTGTGTTTCTCGCCACCTTCAATTGACATCAAAGCTCTGGTTTTAGTCTTGATAAGTATCAAACACTTAATATTGTCAGATAAAGATCCAGTGTGGAACACAATGGCCAGTATTCCACCACCTCTAGTTGCTCAAATGAATGATAGAGATCACTTTAATGTTAAACCTCCTGTCTTTGATGGAGACATATTTGACTATTGGAAGGATAGAATAGAAAGCTTCTTTCTAGGTCATGATGTTGATCTACAGGACATAGTAGTCAATGGCCACATACACCAAGTAGATGTAAGTGGCAATAAATTTGAAATAAGAGTGATAACAAAACAATAGAATAAAGATTATAAGATATATCACAAAGCAAGAACTATCTTAGTAAATTCCATTTCATATACTGAGTATGAAAAGATTACCAATAGAGATACTACTAAATCCATATTTGATTCTCTGAGGATGATGCACGAAGGAAATGTACAAGTCAAGGAAACCAAGGCTCTTGCCTTGATTCAAAAATATGAAGCGTTCAAGATGGAGGATGAGGAAATTGTTGAGAACATGTTCTCAAGGTTTCAAACTCTTGTCGCATGACTTAAAGTTCTAGACAAAGGGTATTCTACTGTTGATCATGTTAAAAATATCATCAGAAGTTTACCTAAAGGTTGGAGACCAATGGTAACTACTCTAAAGTTATCAAAGAACCTCAACAATACATCTCTTGAAGAACCGGTTAGTTCTTTAAGAAGTCGTAAGATTGAGCTCGAAGAAGATGAGCACAAGAGAAAGAGAAAGTTTGTTACTTTGAAATCTTCAGGAAGAGTTGAGAAGACAAAAACTCTTCAAGCTGAAAATGATGAAGAGTCTGAAGAAAAACCCGAATAGGAAGATGAATTGTCTCTTCTTTCTAGACGTGTGAATCAACTTTGGAAGAAAAGGAAAAGCAAATTCAAAGTACAAAGAAGGACAAATGATCGTTCTAAGTCTAATTTTGGATTCATGAAAATTGGAGCCAGCAAAGAAGTCATCTGCTTTGAATGTAAGACGCCAGGTCATTACAAGAATGATTGCCCTAAGCTGAAGAAGGACATACCCAGGAAGAAAGACTTCTGAGGGAAGAAGAAGGGTCTTATGGCTACATGGGATGATTTAGAGTCTTCTGAAGATGACTTCGAGGAAGAGCAGGTTAATGTGGCTCTGATGGCTTACACAGAAACTCTTGTAGACACGAGTCAACCTGAATCAGAATCTGAGTCAGATTCTGAAGAGGTATTTTCTGAACTTTCTAGTTCTGAGCTTGAATCTAGTTTATCCGAAGTTCAAAAAAAATATCAGAATCTTCTGGACAAATACAAGGATCTAAAGAAGATTCATATATTTGAATGAGAATCTTATTATAAGCTTCAAAAATATTTTTCAAGTTCGATGGCTTCCATGATTTATGACATTAGTAGAAATGGGACAACGAGTATTGGTTATGATTCTGATGACGAATCTGATT